ATGAGTCAGCGTTCAACACGGTCTGGTGCCAGAGAGGGGCAGGAAGAACCCCCATCTCTTACATTGGGAACCAATGATTCCCACCCAGTGTACGCTCCCAGTCATGAGCTCGCTGAGACAGTAAGGTATGTTGTGTTACCTACTCGCCGCAACATCAGGACATTTGGCAGTCCAGGTGGTCCATCAATTGAAGAGTATTTAAGGGAGGTGAAGGCTGTCTGGAGAGCGTGCGCAGTGGGGACAGCAGACAAGCTTGATGTCGTTTTAGACAGCATCACCCCTACTGTGCGACGGGAGGTAAAACTCCATTGTTCAGATGATGACCCAGAGGCCATGCTGGAGGCAATGTTGAAAATCTATGGGGAACACAAATCCCTCCAAGAGCAGATGGCAGTTTTCTATACAACAAAGCAGGGAAGCAAGGAGTCTGTGATGGAATTTTCACACAGGCTCCATGCTGCATTTGAAGCCATAACAGATGCACAGTCAAGTGGCGGTGTGACTGTCATGACCCAGCAGGTCCTGAGGGATCAGTTCATTGCTGAGCTGCGCAATGAGCTGACCAAGCGCATGTTAAAAGAGCGAGTACTCCAAGAACCTTCGCTGACATTTTTGGCTGCTAGGGACTATGCCCTTAGGTGGGCGAATATAAATAATGAACTTCACCTGCAGTCCCGAGGTAGAGACATTAATTGTGCCGTGGTTAGTCAGACAGAGCCCAGTGTATCAGGCCCATCAACTAGAGCGCTGGAAGACAAGATTGACTCGTTGTCTAAAGAACTGTCGCTGTTGCGGGCACATGTCGCTGGCACGAGGTACGACACAAGACCCAGGCAGAGAGTTATCCGTTGTGCCAGATGTGGTGGTCTAGGCCATTTGCAAAGCCGGTGCAGACAGGCAATAAACTAGACCCCGCTATGACTAGGAGTCAGGTTGCAGCCGGGGAGCGTGTTGGCTCACAGGTGAAATTAATAGGCGGTAGACCAGAGTGTAATGTGACTATACGCAACAGATCTGTTAGGTGTATTTTAGACACAGGTTCACAAGTGTCGACCATCTCTGAAACATGCTTTAACGAACTGTTTAGCGGAGTCCAGTTAGAAGTAGAGAATTTTGTCAAGTTAACTGCAGCTAATGGTACTAACATTCCATATTTAGGCTACCTGATCTGTAATGTAAAAATAGGTTCCACTTATATTAAAAATTGTGGTGTATATGTGGTTAAAGATTGTAGAAATAAAATGGTTCCTGGAATTATCGGCACTAATATTTTAGCAGCTGTGCCTGATCTGTGTAGATATTTAAAGTTAAAAGATTGTAAACCGGTTGATCCACAACAAGAAGTCAGCCAGGTTAAAGTGTGGGTTGTGGGAGGCAGCAAGATCCATGTGCCTGCCCATTCAATGGTAGTACTTCAAGTGAAAGGTAGAGTAGGGATGACTGTAGATAGAAATGTCCTTTTCGAACCGGCCAGGGACTTGGAGCACAAGGGTTTGATTTTGTCCCACACTGTTACTGTACTGCGACACGGGTGTATGCCTAGTCCAGGCCATCAACATGGGGGACGAAGACTTGTTCTTGGCAAAAGGCACCCAGGTCGGTGCGATTTCAGATGCTACAGTAGACTTAAGCAAGCATTTCAAAGTAGTTGGTGCCCAAGAAGTCCAAATTTTGTCATCACCAGTTAGGGGGCATGATGAACCAACCAAATGTCCCATTGACCTGAGTAATTTTGAGGGTAGCGATAGTGAGAGACAGCAGCTAGAGGCATTGATATTAAAGTATGACAGTCTATTTGCCAAAGATGACTGCGACATTGGGTACACTGACAGGGTCACCCATAATATTTCTTTATCAGATGATACCCCTGTTAAACAACCATATCGGCGGATTCCACCAGCGTTTTACAGGGAAGTACAGGACCATTTACAAGGGTTGTTAGAGAAACAAATTATTAGAGAAAGTTCCAGCCCTTGGGCATCCCCTATTGTGTTAGTAAGAAAGAAAGATGGTACCCTTAGATTGTGTGTTGACTATAGGTCCTTAAATAGCAAAACAAAAAAGGATGCTTATCCACTTCCCCGGGTTGATGAATATCTTGATGCCTTGGGGGGAGCAAAACTGTTTAGCTCTTTAGATTTAGCAAGTGGGTATTATCAAGTCGCCATGGCACCAGAGGATAGAGAGAAAACAGCTTTTACCACACCATTCGGTTTGTTTGAATATAATCGAATGCCGATGGGTCTTGCAAACTCAGCGAGTACCTTCCAACGGCTTATGCAGTGTACGATGCATGACCTTTTTTTCAATGTTCTGCTTGTATATCTTGATGATATTTTAATATTTTCAGGTGATTTTAAGGATCATATTATAAGGTTAGAGAGGGTGTTTAACAGATTGTCCTCACTGGGTCTTAAGTTGAATCCAAATAAATGTAATTTTTGTAAACCTAAGATAGAATTTTTAGGACATACCATTTCGGCTGAGGGGATTGGAGCTGTAGAAGAGAAAATAGCAGCCATCCAGCAAGCACCCATTCCGAGAACCCAGACTGAATTAAGAGCTTTCCTAGGCCTTGCAAGCTATTACAGGAGGTTTGTTCCAAAATTTTCCACAGTTGCACGCCCATTGCATGAACTGGTTGCCCAGTTAAATTTACAGGTTGACAAGCATAAGAAGAAAAAGAACCCTATTGGCGAGTTGTGGTCTCCTGAATGTGATGATGCATTTAACCAGCTAAAAGGGGCACTAACATCTACGCCGCTGCTGGGCTTTCCAGATTTTTCCCAACCCTTTATTTTAGAAGTTGATGCCTCATACCAGGGTTTAGGGGCAGTGTTATCACAGATTCAAGGAGATGCAAAAAAAGTTTTAGCTTATGCTAGCCGAACCTTACGTCCCTCCGAGCGTAATGCTAAGAGTAGTCTAAAACTTGAACTTTTAAGTCTGAAGTGGGCGATGACGGAGAAATTTAGAAGTTACCTCTTAGGTTCTCAAGTCGAAGTTTATACTGATAATATGGGTTTGTCATTATGGAAGAAGGCAAGCTTGGGTGCTATAGAGCAAAGATGGTTAGCACAAATGTCTGTTTTTTAACTACAAAATTCAACATAAACCTGGTCGAGCCAACGGAAATGCTGATTATTTGTCACGCTATCCGATTGGTGAACCAGAAGATTCGGATGAGGGAGGTGATGTTTCTATAAACCATGTTGCTTCATCACCGATTCCTCCAGAGTTAGGTTTGAGATCTTTAGATAGAGAAGCTAATTTGAATGTAATTGAAGTTATTCCAGATGGAATTTCTGATGTAAACCTTAACATAAATCATAATGATTGCTCATCACTACCATCTTATTCTATGGTTGAGTTAGTCAAATTGCAAGAAGAAGATACAAATATTAGCAGAGTTATGGAAATAATCCTTAACAGTGTGAGAGTGTCCAAGGGAGAGATAAGGAAGTTACCACTTAGTGTTAAAAAGCTGCTTAGGCAGCGCAAAAGATTACATATTGTAAAAAAATTGTTGTATAGAAGAATTAAGGGGCATAGTGGTGCAGATGTTTTGCAGCTTGTAATACCAGATGCTTTGAAGCAAAGAGTTTTAGAATCTGTCCACAGTGCTGGTCACCAGGGTAGAGATAGGATGTTGCATATTCTTAAAGACAGATGTTTTTGGGTTGGTATTACCGACGATGTAGAGAAGTTTTGTAAACGATGTGCTAGATGTAACATTGCTAAACCACCTCACATAAAAATACAAGGTCCCACTGGTAACTTGTTAGCATCAAAACCATTTGAGATTGTTGCAATTGATTTTACCCTACTTGAAAAAGACACCAAGGGGTTTGAAAATGTTTTAGTAATTACTGATGTTTTTAGTAAATTCACCATTGCTGTTCCTACCAGGGATCAGAAGGCATCAACAGTTGCCAAGGCACTTGTTGAAAAGTGGTTTTTGTATTTTGGGGTGCCGCAGAGATTGCACTCTGATCAAGGCAGAAATTTTGAATCTACTATTATTTCACAGCTGTGTCGAATGTATGATATTAAAAAAAGTCACACAACGGCATACAATCCAAAAGGTAATGGCCAGTGTGAAAGATTTAACCGCACTTTGCATGATTTGCTGAGACCACTAGCGGCCAGTGAGAAAAGGAGATGGTCCGACCATTTAGCTGAAGTCCTGTTAGCGTATAATTCGACACCTCACGCATCAACAGGGTACTCTCCATATTATTTAGTGTTTGGTAAGGAGCCTAATTTGCCCATTGATTTTATGCTTAGTTTAACAACTGATGAGGGTGGAACAGAGAGTGTAGATGGGTGGTTGCAAGAACATTTGGCACGCTTGCATGAAGCTCACTGTAAGGCAAACGCTCATCTCAAGCAGGCGGCAGCTGTTAGAAAAGATAGATGTGACAAGTTTGCCCATGGCATACCACTACAGGTGGGTGAAGTGGTTAGAAAGAGACTACACTATAATGAGAGGGCAAAAATCAAAGATATGTGGTCTGTAGAGAAATATGTAGTGACTCGGGCACCAGCAATGTCTGGGGGCCCTTATGTAATAAAGAAAATTGGTGTAGAAGCTCCAGTGATCAGAGTAGCTGGTCATGAGTTAAAGCGCTGTGAAGAAGATGCTGCTGAAGAGATACCTGTGACACTTGGATTGCCTGAGCATCCTGTGGTCACAGCCGATGAAGATTCACAGTCAGAGTCAGGATGGTATATTTTCCAACCAGGGGATTTAGGTGTTCGGCGTTCAAGTAGAGCTCGCCACTCTGAGAACAGGCGGAAGTGGGGTGAGGATTTTATATATTTGTAGTTGCATTTTTTTGTAAAAATGAGTTGAATAGAGGTAAAGAGGAGGTGTTGAATTACTGAACTTGTTTTGGGACTCCCATATTTTCATGGTTTTTCAATTATTTACAATATTGATGTAATTTTTTTCTGTGTATGTCCATTGTACGATTTTTTGTTTGCTTTGATTTCAGTGGCATCCACTGATGTACTATACATTTTTTTGTTTTGACTTCAGTGACATCCACTGATGCATTTTTAATTGCATATTGATAATGTTGCAGATGTATTGTGCAAATGTATACTAGGTCATGGAATTTTTGCCATTGGTTATGACCCCTAATTTGGTGGGATGTAGGATAGTTCAGAGGGTTCAATAGGCAGTGATCTATTTTTATTACTTGGTTGTCGGGACGTCAACAGATTTAGTATGGGAATGTGTAACAGGCTGGTGACAGAAGGTAGATTTCTGGCCTGTTTATTTTAGTTTAACAACCTATAGCTGCTGGCACTGGCCAGGTGGGTCAGTGGAACTCTTCAGTATTGTCCAGCACGTCACGTGAGTCGTGGAAGGTGATAAAAGGCCTGATTCTGTTAACAGTTTCCCTTTCCAGCGATAGCGGTAACAGAGGCTAGAAGCCCTTCCGATTTGTCGCCCAAACCGTACACGGTTAAAGCGCAAATTAGGTTCAGACTGCATAACGGTACTACCTGGTCGTTGGTCTGCTAGTAGTTGTCAGTATTTTGTTATTCATTGATTAACTAGTTGCTTGGTTAGTTCTACTGGTCTGCTTATGTACGTTCAGTTAGTTCTTTAGTATATTTAGTTTTTGGAGTGTTGTCAAGAATTATTGTTATGTCATCAACAAATAAAGTTTCTGTATTCGTCAACTTACATTCGTGTTATTTTAGTTAGTATGTCTAGGTTTTACTGTTAAACTATATTAGACCCCACACAGAAGATTTGCTGCCAGGGCGAGATACTTTGATTTTACCCCCGCCTAAACGAACTTTCTTTTTCTCTTTTCTTTTCTTGCTACTGAGGCAGCTTACGGTTGGGTTTAGCTCGCCACGCGACATTGTTGAGAGCTCTTGTAGGTTCGGAG